AACAATAAACTGACATGTTTTGATTGTTGATTTACGTTTTATGCGTGTATCAAACGTCAAATTATTGAAGCAATGTCAAAAAAGAGCGAATCTCGCGCAAGTGAGAATTAGGCTTCACGCGATAATTGGCGCGACACTGGTGTTTTAACATTTTTTGACAAAAAATTTAAATTTTTGATTCATGAAATTCTCTCATAAAAGCTCTTTTCGGGTTCGAAAAAAGGACGGTTCTAGAACGGTTCAAAACAATCGCACAGTTCATCAATCAACTAAATGACAACGGTTCAGCTATCACAAACTTCAATAATAAACTGTGCGATTGTTTTGAACCGTTCTAGAACCGTCCTTTTTTCAAACCCAAAAATAGCTAAAATACAACTCAAGCAATGGAATTTTTAATCTTGGATTAATTTCCAAGCTGGTGTCAAATGATAGTTCATGGAAAACTCAGATAAGAATGTATGATCGGTTTAGCTCTAAAATCAACCGTTGAGGTTTTAAAGCCTGTCAAAGTTGCAAAAAAGTTAATTTTCAACTCTTATTATTTCCGAAACAGTTGAAGATAGGTATAGGATATGATACATTAAATAAGTTCAGAATGTAACGTAGAAATAAGAAATGAAATTAAAAAAAATCCTGTACAGTTTACACCCGGTAGAAGTGAAACCTTCATCGAACTGCATGCATTACACACATACTAACATACACAGTAGCGTCCCCCCCTCTAAAAGACTTGAGAAAGAACGCAAATAAATATAGTTTGAAAAAACTAAAATACACGCTGGGGTGCTTTGTTCCACATTTTTCATACATTGAGCACCCCACGCTTTTTTGACAATAATTCTAATATTTTTTGTTCATTAATATTTTCTGTTTCTATTAAAAATTATTTTTCACTTTTTAGTTCAATTTACTATAAAAGCGTGTTTTTTAGTTTTTTTAAAATACATTGATTTTTCACTTTTTAGTTCGATGTATTATAATAGCGTGTCAGCCCCAGAGATTTCTAGACTTTTCGAGACATTATCCAGACTTATTCAGAGCTTCCCAGAGTTTTCCAGATTCCATCCAGATTTATCCAGACTTGTACAGACTGATCCGGATTCTGGAAAATGATCCCCAGGTCTTTTGGGACCTTTTCCAGAATTTTTCCGACCCCTTCAAGAAATTTCCAGGCCTTTTCCAGACGTTTCCAGAGATTTCCAGACATTATCCAGACTTATCCAGAGTTTTCCAGACTTCATCCAGATTAATCCAGACTTTATCCAGATTTGTTCAGACTGATCCGGATTCTGGAAAATGATCCCCAGGTCTTTTGGGACCTTTTCCAGAATTTTTCCGACCCCTTCAAGAAATTTCCAGGCCTTTTCCAGACGTTTCCAGCGATTTCCAGACATTATCCAGACTTATCCAGAGTTTTCCAGACTTCATCCAGATTAATCCAGACTTTATCCAGATTTGTTCAGACTTATCCGGATTCTGGAAAATGATCCCCAGGTCTTTTGGGACCTTTTTCAGAATTTTTCCAACCCTTTCCAGAAATTTCCAAGTCTTTTCCAGATGTTTCCAAACTTTTCCAGACAATATCCAGACTTATCCAGAGTTTTACAGACTTAATCCAGATTTATCCAGACCTTATCCAGACTTGTACAGACTGATCCAGATTCTGGAAAATGATCCCCAGGTCTTTTGGGACCTTTGGCAGAATTTTTCTGACCCTTTCCAGAAATTTCCGGGCTCTTTCCAGACGTTTCCAGAGAATTCCAGACATTATCCAGACTTATCCAGAGCTTTCCAGAGTTTTCCAAACTTCATCCAGATTAATCCAGACTTTATTCAGACTTGTTCAGACTGATACGGATTCTGGTAAATGATCCTCAGGTCTTTTGGGACCTTTTTCAGAATTTTTCCAACCCTTTCCAGAAATTTCCAAGTCTTTTCCAGACGTTTCCAGACTTTTCCAGACAATATCCAGACTTATCCGGAGTTTTACAGACTTAATCCAGATTTATCCAGACCTTATCCAGACTTGTACAGACTGATCCGGATTCTGGAGAATGATCCCCAGGTCTTTTGGGACCTTTGGCAGAATTTTTCTGACCCTTTCCAGAAATTTCCAGGCTCTTTCCAGACGTTTCCAGAGATTTCCAGACTTTTCCAGACTTCATCCAGATTTATCCAGACATTTTCCAGACTTGTTCCAGCTCACTTGGCTTGTTCCAGGTTCTTGTTGTGTGTTAATATAAGCGTGTTAAAAAAGTGTCATGTCGCTTTTTCGTTTCATCGAGTCTCACATCACTCCCAACGATTCTAAAGAAGTTTTCACTTCAAAATTAATGTTTTGATTTAAAAAAATAAAGTTAGCGGTCAACACTTGTTTCTGGGTCACCCTGTATACATAATATTACCATCAGAAAAACGGCAACTGAAATCAAAAATCGATGTGTCCGAGGTTTTCATGAGCAATCTCACCAATGTTTATTATTTTTCTAGGTTTTCTGGAAGTTCTTTATGTAATAAACGAATAAACATCATCTCTCCCACCCTCGTAACTACGCCACCTCACTTTTTTTTTGTGTAAACATTTCAAGTATCTATTTTGCTGTATTTGTATAGGTAAATTTTATTATCTTTGTAATATATTTTTGTGTTTCCGCACATTTCATTCTCCACATTCTTATTTGTTAAATAAAAAGCACAATGTAAATTATAAAACTATTATTACCTATAACTGTATACTTTTTAATTTATATTAAATATGATAGGTGTATTAGTTTTGCCTCCACAAAAGCCCATAGGATTTATTATTCACCTTCCATGCAATTTGATGACACCCTTCCGTTATCTCGGAAATATTTGCCGTAACGTCGTCTATCACGGTCCTACTTTGAACTCGGCGACAAAGAATGAATTTCGCGCGCTTGAATTTGTTGTTGGCCTCTTAATGCGAGGTAGTCCCAATTTATTTGCACATTTTAGGGATACAAATGACAAGTGAGAAGCACTATCGAGCACTCCTCTGACCGTTTGATAATGACCTCTAAAAAGGTGCGTACAGACATGCAACAGAACGCCGTAACGTAACTTCACCGCGTAACAAGTACGCGACATATCTGGACCGTACTCTGCAACATCGTAGCAGTACAGCAACCGCGTAACACCGTAACATCGCAGCGTCCCATCGGTTGTCGGTAAATCGACACCGCATCAAAGAAATGTTCGCGGCGATGTTGCACTTGATTTTTTTAGTCTGGACGTGCTTGCGAACCCGGTGCCGTTGTTTTGGTTTTGCCCTTTTGTATTTCCACTATTTCCAGTCAAATTCAGTTGCTATTTTGATTTCGATAGAAATGGAGTGGACGGAAGACAGTGTGCTTGAGTTTATCGAAATTTATAGAGGGAAGGAAATTTTATGGAATAACAAACATCCCAGATATTTTAATAAAATTCAGAAAAATGATGCGTGGGAAGATGTCGCAAGAAGTGTAGGTGCTACGATTGACGAGTGCAAGAAGAAAATTAGTGCGTTGCAGTCAGCGCTGAGGCGGGAAAAGTCAAAAATTAAAAAAAGCATGGGCACCGGAACAGGTAAAGATTTATTAATTAATTAAATTTTTTTGACACTTCTAACAGCCAATTTTTTTAACAACTTTCTCAAGCTTGTTGCCTTCAACAAGCTTTCGAAACCTGTTAAAAAAATGTTTTCGAACAATTATCAATGTCCTTGGGTTGTTACTACTGGTATAGTTTTTCCAAAGTCAATTGGAACAAGGTAAACATAAATCATACTGGTGGCCGGCTGACTAGTGGCAGTGGCGGCAGTGCATTTCTTATGGAACTTTCCAGTGACCATCAGTCAGCCACCAGTTGGTACCTTGTTCCAATTGACTTTTGTAATAGTATAATATGAATTGATTAATATACTATTATTTCAATTGTAGGGCGTTCCGATGTGTATGAAAGTTCTTGGTTCGCATTCAAGAGCTTGCTATTCCTGTGGGACAAAAACAAAGTACGCAATACTCAAAGCTCTGTAAGTGTTTATTTATTTATTTATTTATTTTTTTCAATATTATTTAAGTATATTTATCTTGCCACAAAATCCGCCCTTCATTTTGAAAGAAATCAGCCAATTCTTCTCGAATTGCTTTAGCCTGTATGGATGGTTTTCTGGGAATATTTCTGAGAGGAAGTAGCGAAGTAGTTGGTTCATTACTTGAAGCTCTCGCTCCATCGACAAGTTTTCCCTCTACTTCCGTATCGAATGTTCCGTTTGGTGTATACAAGTGACAGGAGGAGGAACTTTTCCTTAAGAAATTATGTAAGTGAGCTATTGCCATTACAATGAGCTCAGCCTTTTCAGGACTTAGCAGCATGGGTTTCCGGAGTGCTCTAAATACTGCTGAAGCAATACCAAATACATTCTCTACGACTCTTCGCGCGCGAGATAATCTATAATTATAAACCCTTTGTAATGATCCTTTGGGGTGAATTCCCGAAAACGGTTTCATTAATGTATCAGTGAGAGCAAACGCCTCATCTCCAATGAAAAAATAGGGAATTTCGCGTTGTCTACCATCCAAAGCTTCAGCTAGTGGCAATCTTAACTCATTTTTTTCTAGTTTTTTGAACAGGGAACAATTTTTGAAAATGCCACCATCAGAAATTCTTCCTTGGCCTCCAGCATCAACATACAAAAAGTTGTAATGAGCATCTACTACTGCAAAAAGAACTATGCTGAATGTCGATTTGTAGTTAAAAAAATCGCTTCCTGTATTAATAGGTGCTTGCAAAACGACGTGTTTTCCATCGATTGCCCCTAGGCAGTGCGGAAAGTTCCAAATATCGTTGTATTGTTTTGCTACTTGTAACCACCCCTCTGATGTTGTTGGTATCTGTAAAAAATATCGTTTTCAGAAACTTCAAAGAATAATGATTCTACTAACTAAAAAACCTTGAATTTATGACCTGATCTACAAGACATTTCTTTCCCAACCCAGAAAACTATTTTGTCATATTATCGAAAAAATATCAACAGAACTTTTTATTTGGTTGCAGATTGATAAAGAAACAGACGAAAGTAATGATGTAGATGATGATACCGCTTTGCAAGATATGAATCCGGACTCTGAGGAGCCCCAGAAGACTAACGACATACAAGAGCCTGACGAGACTGAAGAGCATCATGAGATTCAGAAGCCTCACGGGACTCAGCAGTCTCACGAGACTCATGAGCTTCGCGTGACCCAGGAGCCCAACGAGTCTCAGCAGACTCCAAAGACTCGGATTAGAGTCAGTAACAAGGAAAGAAAACCCCCTCAGATGACTCATAGTATCCCGAACAAAAAACGTGCAGTTGAAAAATTGGATGCTGCTTTCGAAATTCTAACAAAGGCATCGAATAAGGAACCACCGCAGGATCCAAGCGAATGTCAAATATTTGGAAATCTTGTAGCCAAGAAACTTAGTAAATATTCGAACGTAGCACAAACGGCAGTACAAGAAGCCATCATGAATATTTTATTTGCGGCAGACAAGGGGTATTATAATCAATATCCCGCTCCAAGAGGTTATCAATCAAACAATTATTCCACAATCCAAAGCGAACTTGTACAACGTGATTCGGTTTACCAAGATACTCAGTTGATACAATCCCCATATTCACCCCGTCCCGCAGCTCATTGGGATTTTGCAACTGACGCATCATCCCAAGCGCCTCAGTTTTCACCGGTACCACTGCCACTAATATCTCCAGCATCAGCAAGTTCACAATGCTCGGGTATGACAAATTATTCCGCTTCTACCAGCAATCCACCCCCATTTACCAGTGCAACATTACTAACTGATTTAAACTTGCCAGATAATTAAATGATATTCAAGAACAAAATTTTATAGAAAAATGTTTTATAATAAAGAATTTTGAGCAATAAATAAATCAACATACCTGTATATTCTCCTTCAACCCTTCTATGAGAGCTTCACACACTTCTGGTACTATAGCGCTTATCGATTGTTTCGAAATTTTGAACAGATATTGCAGACTCGTGAAGGAATCTCCAGTCGCCAGAAAACGCATTGTTACTGCCAATCTTTCCTGAACCGAAATAGCTTGTCTCCAATTAGTGTCTCTTCTTGATACTTTTGGACCGATTAGGTTAATCAAAAATTCAAAATCAGTTGGCGACATTCTGGTAAAGTTTTTGTATAGACCACTCACAGACTGGAAGTTTAGGTCTCTCAATAAATGACGACCACTGTACACAGTTCTACTGGTGTATAATTGAGTCTGCCACCAGCGTCTTGGTCTGCGTTTTCTCTTATGCACTAAATAGTGCATAACTATGTAAGCTGCAGCAGCAATGTCCATCTTGCTTGAACGTAGATACCAACTAACTAAAAACGTTGCTAAAAAGCTGGGACGCCTAAATGTTCCGCGCCGATGTTGCGCGGCGATGTTCTGTTGCACCAAACTAAACCCACTTTCCTCATCGCAACGTAACAACGTCGCGCAACAGAACATGTCGCGTGCTTGATACGCGGTGAAGTTACGTTACGGCTTTCTGTTGCATGTCTGTACGCACCTTAACATCTTTGATTTGAAAAAGAGCTGTTGAAATTAAGGTGCCAGAAGTATTCAAATTGTGCGAAGAAAGGCAAGCACTTTGGCTTTGAGAGTGCGTGGGGACTGGCAAACTATTATCAGTTTCTTGTCTCTTTGGTATTTCACGTGAAAATGTTTGATGTGGACCTGTGTTTACATCAGAATCAAAATGGAGTGTAGTATGGTGTCTTTTTTGACAAAAACGACAAGTATTTGTGCTTTTACATTGAAAGGTTTTATGCAAGTTTGAAGTACAATTGATACAAAACTTTTGATCTTTAAGAAAAGTGTATCTTTCTTGAGGAGATTTTGCGAGATAATCTGGACACACTGATAGATTATGATCACGGGTACAAAGTGTACATTTATTTTGAGGCTTGGAAGCAGATAAAAATGCGCGAGGGGGTTGGCGACTATTAGGAAATTTTTGATATTGATTTTGCGGTTTTTGTGAGAATTTTGGTTTGCTAGAAGTTTGCGTTGTACTAGAAGTACCAGCACCAACTATAAAAAGTGAGCTGCAGTGTTGATCCAAAAAATTATAAATAGCTTGATATGAAGGTATCTCGGTAGGCTTACCATGAAAAACTTCGAAGCGCGTTTGAATGGAACAATCAACAGATTTTAATAATTTTTGGGCTAAAACAAAATCCCAAAAATCTGGTTGCAAGCCAACCGTTTTGAGAGCTTCAATGTTTTTTGTGAAAATATCAAGTAAGTTTCTGAGAGCTGTAGGATCGTCAGAATTAACTTTTGGAGCTGAATCAATGGCATTCCAATAGTTTTGAGCTAAGATACGATCGTTTTTATATCTTTTGACAAAATTGTCGAAAACAATTGGGTAGTTAGCGTCAGAAGCGGGTAGTTGTGTAACCAATTCTCTTGGAGCACCTTCCAAATATGTCACTAAAAGTGAGTATTTCTGAATATTTGGAATGTTAGGGTTGTCATGGATCATACTTTTGAAAAGATCATAAAAGGTTGGAAATTGGTTAATATCTCCAGAAAACTTGACAATATCAATTTTCGGGAAACTATGAGAAAAATCTGGAGTTTGCTGCGAACTCCCAGGAGCATTGGAGTTGAGCGTAAGACGACGGTTAGTTCCGGTTGTTTGGGGCGTAATAGTATTTTCCGAAAAAAGATCATCATAAATTTCCTTAATCAACGTGACATCTTTATGGAATGCATGAAGATGCGCAATGCAAATTTTAACTTCATCTTGGTCAGCGTAAATTTCGTTTAATGAGGCAGAGTGCCTTTTCTGATATTCAGAGCGAACATCTTCAAGGTCTTCGAAACAAATTTTAAAATTATTACGTTTTGAATTGTCAGTTTTAGCGCTCAAAGCGACGGCTAATATTTCTTTAAGTTTAGAATCTTCTATGTCGCGCAAAACTTTAATTTTCTTAACTTTTTCCGACATTGTTCCGCAAAATATAGATTAAATAAAAATTCTAGATTATAAATCGAACTAGAAATCGAAGCTATCTTGAAACTCTTTATTATTTTTGCTGAATTTGATAAAAAGTCAGAATATAGTCTGATTATTTGAATTCCTTTTAAATATAAATTGCCTAGGAGAATTTTGAAGGGTTCAAATATCGACCTAATTTTATGAATAAATTACCTCTTTTTTGCCTCTCAAGAAAATACCTGAAACTGGAATTTATCGTTGCCCTTGAAATAAATAATACATATGTCTGCATAAAGAATGCGACATAAAATTGAATTTTGATGAAATTAAAAATTTGCAATTTGAGTTTTCACACTTTAATGGCGTTCACACTAGAAAAAATGATTTTTTTAAATTGAGTTTGGAACCAAATCCGGTGATCGAAGTGATCAAAATATGTGCTGTAACGACAGCTCAGTAATGTTGGTTGAGTTTAGTGGACTGTAATTTAATAATCTTCTTTTAATTTGAAGATACAAAGATCGCGGAATCACTTTTTCCAGTGTTAAATAATATATGAATTTTTTATTGAGAAAAATCCCGTTATTCGGATTGGTAATTGACCTCAACAATATAAAGCAGTGATACAGCCTAATAAAAGAGGGACTTACCGAAGTGTCGTCTATTTTCCTCCTCTAGGTGCACCTAGCCAAATGAGCTTTTGCGGCGAAAGACTTAGGGAATTTTCCAGCACTTAATTATGGGCACTTTTCCGATTTGCGGAGTTGATAGACCGAAGTATAATAATTATTCACTTTCAATTCCGGTTGCGAATTTTGTATTATTTAAATTTTGGTAATTTACCGACTGATCGCGTGCATATCGCGTGCATGGTCGATATCAGAGAGAGAGAGTTATCAGTGTTTTAAAACCAGTACAGTTCCTGGGCAATTGACTCGCACAGGCGCATAAAATCTTCACCCTCTGGTAAAACCGCATCACTACATAGAATAAATGAATCCTTAACAGTTAACTTTAAAAAATAGTGATACAATAGAACATTCATATATAGCGCCAAAGTGTGACAAATCAAATTTTTACTTATTTTATAACCAAAAAACCCCTATAATTTAAACACTGATGAGACTCAAGCATTTGTTTAACTAAATCTAAAAAATAAAAATTAAAATTAAAATTAAGAAGTTCAGGGGAACTGAACAACGTCAAGATTTAATGAAATTTTGACATGGTCAAAATCGGGCTATCACCATCTAGGAAGCTAATAACATGAGAGACCTAGGAAGGAATTTTCGCGTTTTTTCCTATAAACTATTGGAGATAAACCGAGAGATAAACATATCAAACCGTATATCGTTGAAATCAGGTTGAAGGGGACGAATAAATAAGCGTACAAATATACATGGTCTTCCATTTAAAGAAAATGCAAGCTAGCCCCCCCCCCAGTTATTATTTATTACCCATAATGCTAGCACACCAAGGTTATAAGAGGTAGCACAACCTAGCACATTCACTGGTTGAGCTAGCACTCCCACAGCTTAGGAATCACATAATCCTCTCCCAAAATCGGGGTCGGTGGGCAACTTAACGCTAGCAGTCCTCAATTAATAACAGGTATCAGTCAAATATTTTTCCCAAGGAAAAAAAGTAACAAGACCACTCACATTTTTTCCCAAGAAAGAAAAGTAACAGGTAGGTACAGTCACAGAAACATATTTTTTTTTTTTTTGTGACGAAAAACTGAAGACTTTTTGTACCTGTTGACATAGGCAAAGAATGTCACTTTTTCTCCCACGGGTCAAATTTTTTTCCCAACGGGAAAAAAGTAACAAGTACGATCACAGAAAAAAAAAACATATAGATGGTATAGAAATGTGATATTTTCAGTCACATAAAGAAATAAAAATAGTGTATTATAGATAGGAAAAAAGTAAAATTTGAGCGCTTGATATGTTGTCTCCCTCCGCTTCGCGTCAAGAGGAAAACCACACCTCGCGCTGGGCCATATTTACTCCAGTACAGGGTGATCTATTATAAATGTCATCCCCTGTTAACTTTTTTGTTTGACGTTATTGACAGAAGTGTCAAATACAGAGGTTTTTAGAAATTGAACCCTATGCTGGAACAACGTTTCAAACGCCAAATATACCAAACAAGCGCGAAACTAGGGCGGTTGCAATTAAAACGTTATTGCACAAAAAGGACATACTGGGCCAATTGAAATGGTATCAACACTTCATAAAAAAAAATCATATTATCCCACTATTAAGTTGGCGAATTATCCAGGGTACAATACAACGTTATTCCATGAAAATACCGTTTTTACACATTGTCGTTTACAACGTTGTTCCAGCATAGGGTTCAATTGTCAAAAGTTTTTAACTAAGTCAGTTTTAGTCATACAGGGTGCGTCAAAAAAGTGCAGCAGTGTGAAGTTATATTTTTTTAAATGGAACACCCTGTATATTGTGCGCTTATTTAATAGGCCCCTTTAACCTGATTCCAACGATATATGGTTTAATATGTTTATTTCTCGGTTTATCTCCAATAGTTATAGGGAAAAACGCAAAAATTCCTTCTTAGGTCTCTCATGTTATTTTTTTTTTAATAATAATAATAATTTTGACAGGTAAGTCAGTTATTGGCTAGAAGCGGATTATACTCCGCCCTAGGCAGGACCGTCTTAGGCCGTGTTTATGTTGGAGCTGTGATAAACGATAAAAGCAACGATACTAATGATACTATACATTAGTATCGTTGCTTTTATCGTGTATCACAGCTCCAACATAAACACGACCTTAGGCTGTTTTGTATTTCTTTTCTCTGAATATACAGGGTGTCACGAAAGGTTTG